TTTCTTTTCCAAGAATCTCTCCACCAAACAGGACCACAGCCACCACCACCTTTCTCGATTTCATCTCTTTCTCCCTATTGACATTAAAGCCAAGGTGTAAATATCAACAATTCGGAAAATATAATTCGCAATATTGCCCACAATTTGACATCCTCTCTCTCTTTCATCTCTCGTGGCACAAAACAAGGCAAATATTTAATTTAACGAGTAAATATCCCAAAGTGGTTTCATTATTGTGATTCCTTCTCCAAGACAGGACGGAGGCGATATGGGTCTCACTTTACTCTACTTTCTCTTCTCCCCTTTTCTTGCTGACTTTTGCGAGAAAAGGAAATTCAATATTTTCATGAGATTCGCACTTGGAGAGAAAGTCGGCCTGTCAAGAGTGTACGGCAAATATGGATGGGGGTCGATTTATTCGGGGAGAGTTGTACAATGGACGGGGGCAGGAAAATAAATAGTTTGGAATTTTGGGCATGCCATAAATTAATTTGAATAGAGGGGGAGGGGCAAATATGGAAAATAGGACATGCCGTGAATGTCTGGTACGAATGTAGAGTTATACAATGGACATGAAATGAAAATACAGGTATTTTTGGCCTGGAGTAAATGGCATAGGTATTTATTGCAATGTTGGGTATGAATTTTAATGCAGGGTAAAAATGGTAAATATGACATGCCATAAATGCCCTATACAAGTGTAGAGTTGTACGATGGGTAGGGAGGGAGTGAAAATAAAGGTATTTACGACATGGAATAAATTGCATATGTACATAATTGCAATATTGGCTATGAAATTTAATGTGTGGAAAATAGGTATGGCAAATAGGGCATGTCATAAATTAATTTAATTATAACTCTACCACTAATCATAAATTATTTAATTGCAAACTTTGTACATTTATCGAATCACATCTTTCCATTTAGTTTTACAATTTTTACGCAAAAAAAATCATATTTATTTGACCAAAATTTCCAAAATTCCTGAAACTTACAAACATTTCTCTTGATCTGAGTACCCCTAAAATTGTTGGCACCTTAGTTATTTCCCCAGAAGTACAACCTAGCATCCATCACTGCATACGTACATACGTGTACGTTCTCCTCTCTCTTTTTCACCCTATTTCTCCATTTCTCTCTCCATACATAAATCTTTGCAAACACATAAATGCCAAAAACTCGGCGTAAAATAGAACGCAAATTATACGGCTACATACCATCCACGATTCAAACTTTCTCCTTCGGCTTGCTTCCCTTTCTCCGGTAAACAACTACTATTTTTTTCCACATTTTTTTTCATCCGAGCAAGATCAGAAATTTCGACTTCTTTGAAATTGAGTGGAAACATGAAAATATTGGGAAACAGAACAAGTGTGAAAAATATTATATTCATTGAAACAATGGAAATATGTAGATTGGTATTCTGCAGTAATTTCGGTAACAAATTATTTTACTGGATAATCCCGGTAGCAATAATTTTTGGTAAAATTCAAAAAAATCAAATTTCACGGAAAAAATATGATTTTTTTTACTACAAAATTCGGTTTCTTTTAAATTGAGTGAAAACATGAAAATATTTTTAAAATAAACAGATATTGAATTTATTGAAACTATGCATAAATTTCTCTTAAACGAGCTTTAATTTCGGTAACAAATTATTTTACCGAATAATGTCGGTAACAAATTATTTTACCGAATAATCCCGGTAACATTAATTTTTCATAAAATTCAATTTGTTTTTACCACCCTTCCATCGTGTTATATAAATTTCCACCATTATTTCCCAAATTATTTGCACAGTTTACAAACATCCGCGAAAAACTGATTCCTTTTTTTTACCGGAATCAATTATGTACCATCACTTTCATTAATTTATGCCGCGCCTAATTGATTGACAAGGGAAAATTAAACCGATGCGGGTGCATATTTTGGACGCGAGAAGAATAATCAAATCAGAAATTGATAGACTGGGCAGAAATATGTGTATGGAAAGCAATATGCAAAACCAGGCCTTTCTCTCGACTGAATGGATGGATACCGATATTTCGTGGGCTGGAGAGAAACCACAGCTTTCTCCATGAACAAATAAGTGGGTGAAAGTTAGTGAAATCATGACATGACAGCAGTGCAGTAAGGGGACGTGCGGAAAAGATGAGGATCTAGTTTTGGGGTCATGGCACCCTAAAAATGCACATTTTTGTACGCGAAATTCCCAAAAACTTAGCAAAATTTAAGACATAATTGAATCACAGCCTTTCTGCACGACCTGCAAAGAGCAGTGCAGAGTATTTCTCTGTCATGAGAATGAGAACGATCCAACTTTTTGCACAGGGTTCGGCCCAACGTGGACGAAAGTGTAAAGTGTGCGATTTGATTTGTACGCAAATTTTTGCAATTTGGCAGGTTGCAAATATTTTAGCACCTTTGCAAAAAGTAAGGAAAGAAAATATGATTTAAAAGAGATTAGGGGCCACAACATTTTTGTTAATAGTTTTAAATTTAAGAAAATATGCGGTTTACAAATCTTCGTGTGACTAAAAAAAATGGGAAAATTTATTTTTATACATCTGGGCAATTTCATCAGCATAAAAATATATTGCGAAAAATTGCCCTTTATCGTCTAAATTTCCAAACTTTAATGTGTCTCTCTCCCACAAAAACTGAATCTGTGCAAAATAAATGCAAAATAAATTGCAACCTCTTCCTTTCTCCTTCTCAAATTGTATAAGCCAACGTGCAAAAAAAAACTTTTGTAAAATGCAAAACTTTCACTTTCTCCACGGCAAAAAAAAAATCCGCCCACAAATCCAAAACCAACCGAGAAAAAGAAAGTTTCTAAAAAAAATTAAGGAGCAAAAAAAAACTCAAGTTTCTCCAATGAAATGTATGCCAGAGAGTGAAATCAGACCCAGTCAGAAGAAACCTAGACCCGGTTGGGCAGTAAAGACGGGAGGATCTCGGTTTTAATTAAGCTGTCTGCACGCTATGAGTTAGGAGAGAGAGAGAGAGGGATCGGGTCAGATCAAAATTCAGAGGGCAAAATTGCCATAAATTTTGTCCAGGAGAATATACAGTCAAAATTGTAATGGGGACATTCACGTCGGACACATGATTTCGAAAATTGTGGCTCAAAATGATTCCAAAAGTTTGCCTTTTTTGCAAAATTGCACTATTTGGAAATTTAAGTTGGAAACATTTCAAAGGCTAACTAATTTTACAAAATTTCCAAATTCGTTCAACTGTTCCTAATTTGTGATGAGCGAGCATTCCAATTGCCAATAAAAGAATATGATTTTCAAAATCAGACTCTTATCAGTTTGAAAGTCTAAAATTTTGTGCAACTAAATTTTCAAAATTCGGCACATCTTAAAATCCTAAAATTTACCAAAATTTCTAAATCTTTTTTCACTAATCGTGTCGAATATTGAGTTCCCCGATTTTCAAAATCACACTTGCAACTTTTATTATTGCGAAATTCACTGAAATTTATTACACCCAACTTTTCGAAATTCGCAAATCCATTATAGATTAATTGTCCGTCGCCCGACAAGACAACTGACAAAGCAAAACCCCTGCCTTCGTCCAGTCCAGTGAGAGATTTACCGCGTCCTTCACGCCCCGTTAGCTCTGGGGGTCATCATACCGCATACAAAATAGATCACTGTCTCTCTCTCTACTAGATTAGTGAGGGCCATGCACACCAGATTTCGCCTAAAAAAACTTGGTAACAAAATCGTGTAACCACCACCACGCTGGTAATGATTTGTCGTTGAATGACATCAAAAATTTCTGTGCAATCCAATTAGAAATTGATTACATAAAGCGTGGTTGAATCTCCCATAATATTTTTGTTACCATTTGATGTCAAATCTTTACCAACGTGATATAGTAACTGACTACATGTGGTGACGATTTTGAATCTCCCTGATATTTTTGTTACCATTCGGTAGAAACTCTTTACCAACGTGATATAATAACCTCCTTCAAAACTTTTGTTACCATTCGGTAGAAACTCTTTACCAACGTGATATAATAACCTCCTTCAAAACTTTTGTTACCATTCGGTCCCAAATCTTTACCAACATAATATAGCGACTACATTTTGTTACCGCCCTATTTCGAGTCACACTCTGCCCGCACTGCCTCGCCCACTAATCGGTCGACTCTCTTAATGTGACCATTTCCATTCCAACCCACCGACTCCACCAATTCACCCAGAGCACAGATTTTATTACGAGTTTGAAGCATTTGTTGGACGAATGTGGATGGATAGATATACGTACTTTCTCCCAAATACTTTATACTTTTATATGTACCAACTTCCCGTCATTTCTGACCCCGTGAGAACAAATCAATACCTTTTTTTCTCTTTTCTCTCTCAATACGTAGACATCTAAATATCGAATCTACGAACGTATGTAGGCAGGGTTCCTATTCTTTATTTTCAGTGGTAATAAATAGTTTTTGTAGAGATAGTTCGAAATTTCAAAAAATCGGATTAGTCAAAATTTTAATTACACGAATTTTGATGATTGGTGAATCAAAATTTAATCAGAATTAAAATTCCCCTAGATTAAAATTTAATTAATCTTATTGCTTGGAAATTTCGAACCTACACAAAAAATGCGCAATCTTTTAACCAATAAATTTTCCTGATATTTTTTTTTATGATGAGAAATTGGATGCCGATTTAAATTCGATATCAAACAGGACGATGGGAAATCTGTACAAACAAAGCTAAAAATTAGGGCGGCAAATTCAAGCAAAAATGATGATTTGCATGTAAATCCAATGAGAAATTCGATATCAAACATGAGGACGGGAAATTCCACGGCTAAAAATATGGTGACCAAATAAATTATCGATATCGCAAGAGGACGGGAATTAAAAATATGTATTTTGGAAATTTTTGGCCCAAAATATATTTAATATTTCCAGAAACTATGCATTCAGTACATCAATTTCCATGCAATTTAAGAAAAAAATATAAGCAAACCAACGTTTATTCCGTCACACGAGATGCGTCCAGTAATCGGCCTCCTTCCTACGCCACGTGGTCACATGAATATGTCCCCCCTTCTCGATGCTGATGTTTGTCTTAATGCAAATAATCAGGATCCAGGAACAATTTGGCAGAATGCACCAATTACTCGTGCCTAAGTGAATTCGGCAAATCTGCAAATGCAAGAATATTCGGGTTTTACTTTGGTAATGAAGACGAAATTAAGGTGTCTTCATTAACTTTTTTGTTTAAATTGTAGCGTCTTGTAGCGTAAATTGTAAAGTGTATTTTTCAATTTTCTGTTACATACATCAAATTGTACAGATTTATACTACAGGACGACTGACTGACGAACTATCTCCCATGTCAAAATATTTCTACATTTTTAGATAATAACCAGAAATATTTACAGCCACTTTTCATTTTTAATATATTAATCATAAAATTGCAGCAATTTTTTCAAAAAATATGTTTCAAAAGTGCATAACTTGTTTAATACCATTAAAAAATACATATTATATAGATTTTATTATTGGTGAGAAATATGGAAAACTACGACTTTAAAATATTTTCTAAATTTATAAAAATAACCAGCAGCATTATTTCAAAAACGCATAACTTTTATAAAATATGACTTTAACTAATTATATAATTTTGTGTTAGCAAAATGGAAAATAAGGAAAAAAGCCAGAAAATTAATATTTTATCGTTTTATTGTCCATAAATATTAAATAAATATGCTGAACACTTGATAAGTGAGTAGCATACGTACTTATCACACTCACTTATCATTTGCTGATAAGTGAGCAAAATTCCCAAAATATGCAGCGACCACGACGCAACACTGCTTTTACTTTCACCCAGAAACTTTCAGTGAACGTGACTAGGGTAGAATTTTCTCTTATTTTCTTCTCTTTCTCTCTCCTGCCCTACATATTTCGTCGCAACTTCTACTCCACGTACGCATTTCTTAATCCGCACAATATGCTATTGTCTTTTGAGACGATTGAATTAGAGGGGGATTAATGGTCACAAAATCACAATTCAATTGGTGACATGTCCATGCCACGTGGCGGCACGTGTTCTTACTTTCGCATAAAAGTTGGAAACTTTTTTTACCCGCATCAACACATGGGAATCATTGCATGATTTTATTAAGCTGTTCGAATTTTATGGGGATGTTTGTAACATAGTAAATCGTGGTGTAAAGTTGTTTTACGAATTTAAAAACTTAAGATGATTTCTCATTTTTGTCACCCAATTTTTTTATCGTAAACTTGGAAAAATTTTTAGTGTTTACTGTTTCCACCCAAAATCCAGTTTTTTGGGAAAATTCGTCGTACAAATGAACCTTGCCTTTTGTCAACTTTCTCATCACGTGTCATGACCATGACATTTGAAATGACTTAAAAGTTTATGACACATTTGTCACACAAGTTTCCCTCGTAATCTTTGTAAAATTTGGCAAACTTTCCACCCAAAAATTTCGTTTTTTCCTCACAGAAATTACCACTTTCTCTTCGCTAAAAGATAGGTCACAATATAACAACGGCTTATGAAATGAATGACCACGAGGCCTTTCTCTCCCTTTCTCCACTTTTATCTACCTAATCGTATTTATTTCTCTTCTCCAATAATATTCTCACTCTCCTCTTCTTTGCAAACCTAATTTCCATATTATTCATCTTTTCATTCCACCCAGAAATTCGGGCCGTCGTAATCAAGTTAACCATCAAAAAGTAAAAAGCCATCGTGCCTCTACTTTCTCCATGGCGGCCACGGCAGCACTCAAAAAGCCATCAATCAAATCCTATCTGCCTCCATTAATTTTTCTCACATGTATAATTTTCAGCCTAACTTTACTCTCTCACCGTTAATCTAATCTCCTACTCTCTTTTCGGCAACTTTCTCTCTCCGCTTTCGCTTTCTCCGACACGGCCAAATGTAGGCCGCCTTTGGTGTGAAATGAAATATGTGGGTAACTCATTTAAATCCGGCTTTCAGAGTGTCAAATGTACTCGTATTTCCACTCATGGTGGAAATCAAATCGTGCCAAATTCATGTCGAATTTGAGTATCTGGTAAGGTAAGGTTAATTAATTTAATTAGGACAATTCGCAAAATTTGCACTTATCCGAGTGACACTTTGTGCCTGTACAAATATGACAAATATGTGCCACGTGTGTGTCTGTGTTTAATTGTTAAATTGATTCCTATCCGTCTTTTGTGCCAATTTTCTAAAATATGAAACTTTCACTCTGGGTTTTGGGCTTTAAATTCGCAAAATTTTCTCCTTTAATCTCTACAGTTAATAAAATTAGGGCCACACTTTCTCTCTCATCCATTTGTGTGCGATCAAGTTAATTATAAAATTGGTCCCTTTATTAAATCCATCCATTGACCTTTTAGGTCATCTCTTTGTACCAATTTTGTAAAATATGTCAACTTTCTCCCTCTCTCTCCATTTGCTAATTTACCAAAATGTCCCTTTAATCTTGACACTTGGCATAAATACAATAAGCTTGCTCTCATCTATTTACGCGATCCAAACTTAATTACACTTAAAATTGTTCACCTTTATTTTAGCTACTTCAATCCCTACTCACCTACAGAACTCTGTATTAAATTTCGCAAAATTCGCACTTATCCTTTGAACCAATTTCACTTTTTATTTCACTCAACAAATGAAAAGCTACATTGTACAACTCTCTCATCTTTTTGGAATTAAAACGGCTACAAAATTTCACTCCACTTCATCTCATCTCATCTCACTTTCTCCCTCGAATGAAATGAATACAAGATTATTTTCCTTCTAAAAACCCACACGCTAAATAATCCAAAGACAAAAATTGTTATTCGTTTGTAACTCATGATCAGTAAACTGTATAATTTCTGTAAAATGAAATATAACAAAGCGTTCTTTTCGGTAACTTTGTGAAATCCGTAAATTCTGAAACTTTACAAACTTTGAATAACTTTGAGGAACCCAGATAACCATTAATAATGTATCTGAAATTTTAAAATTGCATACAAATTTATGAAAAATATAAAATCTGACGTTAGTGTTTTACGAAAAATTTTGTGAACGACCCATTCACGCAGGCATTGGTAACGTTGCAAATTCCGTAAATTTTGTAAATTTACAAACTTTTACAAATATTTCGAAGGAAAATTAGCTTACAAATTTTTGTAAACTTCAATTAGTCAGCTAGGCAAACCGTAAAAAAGTCTGGTAGAGTCACATACATACTCCTTACTTGTATTGATTTGGTAATAAATTTTTACCGGTTTGGTAGTAGTTTGTTTCTGAGTGATAAATTTTTCATTACCACAACATTACTAAACGGAAATGCCCTTTATTACCAGTGCCAGTAGAGTCATATTTACATCTACTCCGGTCAGTAATGATTTAATACCAGTTTTCTAAGAGTGCAAACGGATCAGGATTCTGCTTGCGTAACGTAACGTGTAGCCCTGTGGGCAGGATGACAACCCTTTTCAGCGAGTGAAAGTGAGTGGGTGGACACGAGGAGAGAAAGTCCTCATCCATCCATCCACTCGACATCTACTCCGCCGTATTTATTTTCATCCTCCTCAAAATAATGCATATTGATGGATGACAAACTATGTTTCACGAAAGAATATAAATCCACGTGGACATTTGTAACTTTGTAAATTCCGAAAATTCTCTAAAGTTAAAAACTTTTACAAAATTTTCTTACACATTTTTGGTAAACTTGCTCATGTCATTTTTTACTTTTGTGAAACTTAATAAAACTATGTTATAAAATTTACGGATTTTACAAAGTTACCAATAACTGCGTGAATTGCCTCAATTTGTCATAAAATCTGTTAAATGTTGGTGAAAATTTATTGAAAATTTATACAATTTATTGTAGTGAACCATTTTACCATGTACAATTAAAAGTACCTATCTACAGAAGAGACTACAAAATCAATAAAAATTCAAAATTTTCAATATCGACACCGCTGTTAAACAATTTCGTAAAAATAATATAAGTTTCCTAACCGTTTTTATTTTACAGAAAAACTATTATGAAAATTCATATAATTATATTATTAGTATTCATATAAATTATATGTATTTCGTTAAAAATAAGCTTCCAATGCAGAAGAAGAATACTTAATTTGTCCCGTGCAAATTAAGAAAATCGATGAAAATCCATTTGTTCCCCATAATTTTGCAAAGGTAAATAATTTTACGCAGTTTTGATGTCACATCACATTCGCCTTTCTCTTTATGGCTAGACAATTATTTTATTGTGGAGGACGGGATAGACACGAGAGATAAAAATCAATAGTTAACTGACCAACCAAACCAAGAAACCACCGCTATTGACCCGTCATATGTACATAACAGCACAGTCACGAAACCACGCACGGAAATAATTTCACTTTCCGATTACAAAAAGCCAAATTCAACCCCATATCAGATAAATAAATCGATCCACAAAGCAAGAAATGGAATGGAAGGGAAATTAGCAAATCTTTAACTTCTAGAAATGTAAGTAAAAACAATTCAGATTGGGAACAAAAAAAGTGTGTGGTTTTATGAAAAATTTACATTTGGAGAGAAAATATTATTAATTGGTAAAAAAATCAAGTACAGAAATTCACTCGGATTTTTGTAAACTACTATTTTACAACATTTTCCAAAATAATTGCAAAAATTTTGCACACAAAATTGTATTTATTTGTGTAAGTTTAACACCGAACAAATTGAATTGTTCGATTTAGACAGTTTTGTACGACTGAAGATCCTACGGCAGTAGTATTGTAATAAAAATTACTAAAAATTGTTCAAAATTAGTGAAATTCAATGACTTTTTTAATTCTACAAATTTATTAATAACCAACTTTTTACAAACTAATGTCTGATTTGAAAAAAAATTTCAACCCATGTTTACTCGTAATCTTGAAAAACGACGTTTACACAGTTTCCGAGTGAAGTTTCTATATCTTTCTCTTCACTATAAAATAATAAAGAAAGACACGCTATCCCAAAAACCACCACCGAAAAAAACAAGCACTTATCGTGTGAAACCGAATTAACTGCATTCCTTGGGAACGTGTGACATGTGAAGTGCATACGAAAGCGGGCGAGGGCATGGGTTGGAAATAAAATGCAATTTTAAGAACGAGAGACACGAGTT